GATATTGTATCTACTTACACCAACCACCTAAAACCAGCCAAACCAAGACGGTGAACATTAATGGAAGAGGAAAATGAAGTTTAAAGAAATTATGAAACAACTCTGGAATTCATACAGCTTTTGGTGACTATGTCACTCACTGTTATTAGCAAATAAATAGAGGTATACAACAAGTCTGATTACACAGGCCTGCTAAAACCAGCTCTCACGAGTTACTGACTTCTATTTATTGATAGCATGTTGACATCACTTCTCTGCTGGTATTGCATTTTTATAGCTAATTAAAACGCACCTTCTCCCCAGTCTGCACATACCAAAACATGCCGAGATAGATGTACTTTCAGTGCTCCGTAACTACCAGAATTATATATGAACTGTAGGATTTACTAGGACTCTAGCATAAACTAACCTGTATCCCGGAGGCAGACATAACCTGCAAAATTTGGCTTTGCTCACAGCTGTGGAACATTTGGAGCCAAATAGTTGGTTAGTACATTACAGAGATAGAAAGAAGTCATGAAATTCACATGTGTTTCGAGATCCAAATTCCACTGTAATATTGGCATCTGCAAAATTGGACTTGTCATTTGGGACTATCTCTACTGTATGTTTTTCTTCTTCAAGGGAGGGAGAAATGTATACCCTATCCTTTTACCCAGTTGTTCGCCCTAGCTCTAACAGCATGGAAGGACTAAAAATCCATAAGACTTAACCAGTTAGATATTCTTTTGACCTGGGGAAGAACATAGTTGGCATCAAGCTGTTGAAGCTGGTACCAATGCCACCTGCCTCTGCAACGTTTGGGGCAGTTACCGTATTGGGGGTAGAATAGGCCATAGCAGCAGCAGTTTCTACTCGGTTGTTATCCACCAGTAATCTCTCCTGGGGGTAAGGAGTCAATCGAAATAGAGAAATCTTTAGAAAAAGAGGGATGCAATGAGACCTTTGCAAACTTACTTAATCTGGCCTCGGTAAGAAGCACATCTGAAAATCCAGCTTGAAAGCTTCACTACAAATAGGGATCCAAATTTGAAACCAGTGCAATGGTTTTAAGTAAAGAAAAACTTTTGGAATACACTAATTGCATCAAATCTCTGGCAGGTTTTGAAAAACCTGATTCATCACGAACTCCGAACTGTAGCATTTCCTTTGTTTTCCACATGAGAGCTCTTAATCTGTTCAGGCTTCCATTGCAGACTTTCTTCCATCCACAAAAATGCCTCTCATCTGCTCTAGCATCATTCTTTTACTTAATTGACTTATTTTGTCTAGATACTGATGTGACCAAAATAGTTTGATCTGATTTTCCTTTGCTTCTGACCTCACTTACATTTATACCCATGTGAATCTTGTAACTTTGATCGACAATGCCAGTTCCCTTGCTATTAAAAATCATTATGCCTGCTGTAGTCAGAATGATCAATATTCTAGCAGAAGAATCTGAAACACATTAGAGGTCCGTCAGAGGAGAAACACTCTTTTTTCCCCATCTTTCTTCTTTCTATCAGAGTCTTATAAAGCATTCAGAAGAATGAACAATATACTTACTTGTGTTTCATAACTTTATACTTTTTTTCACTTAGGAATGAGATGGAAAGAAAGCCTAAGTAAAATTTTAAAAGTACCTCAGAGTATGTACATGCAGTAGAATACGATACAAAGACTTGCTAAACCAACATCTAGCTGCACTGACCAAGGTAGGTGGCTACTAATTTCAGGGTAGACTCAATTTGCAGGAAATCTGGCTTTCTACAAGGTTTTCTGTTGCATGGTATTGAAACGCTCTCAGAAGTGGAGATATAATTCTGAAGTCTTAAATATTTCACTTAGGAGCCTGAGGGCATGTCTAAAATAGATTTAGAGTTTATTATTAGCATTTCATTTTTACAGATGACGTGGAAGAAGAGGGAATAGGTTGCAAGAAAATTCTCTTCTTCTGCAGTTCCAGTGATTGGATTTACAAAGGCAGTTAGACGCCTACAGGTGCAGAGAGGTGTCTAGGGGGACTTCCAAAAGCACCTCAGTGAGAGATGTGCCTAGTCTCACTGAACTCTGAAATGAGTGAAATTCCAGATCCGTTCAAGTGCTTTTACAACACCAGCAAAGAACTTCTTTGCACTGCTAGACATCTAATTATCTCTATAAGATGGCCCCCAATTAGTTGCAGATGGCCAGCGAAAGGAAAAGGGATGAAATGTTTTGCATTTTAATAAATATATTCTGCTTCTGGGCTACGAAAGGTTTTGTTTTTCTGAGTGGATTTTCCCTCTATAGCTCTGACTCAAGTTACTCAGGCTCGGTACTCTGCTGTCTCAGTATGGCACTACACAGCAACAGTAAATAATGCCTGGTGAATGGCAGTCTCCATGGAGGGATTATTTACCCAGTGACATGATGTGTGTCTTCCCGTGGTGATGCCACCACATCATCTCCTTAACTCCTTCACTATCACCAGCTTCCCCTGGGGAGATGGGATGATGCCCTCTAAGTGTGTCGGCAGTTCATCTTGAAGAGGGAGCTTTTAATGAGGTGGTGCCAGGCAAATGGGGCTGCTGCCTATCATACAAACTATCACCGCCAATGTTTTTTTCCTGTGAACGTTATGTATTAGGGAGCACTGAGAAAATTATACTTACTGAAAGAAATCAAAAGAGTCTAATTACAGTGATTTTTATAGAGAGTGTTAAAGGATGCATGTCAAAAGGGACTGATATATAATTATGATAATATCAGTTGCAACTCCTGTGCTATCTAATTACTTGAAATGGGTGGCACTGTGCAATCTTTATGAAAGTGAGCTACTTTGATAACAAAATGATATAATCTTAATATGAAATAAAAATAAAATTGAAAGTAAAATGAATATATTGGTAGGAATAATCATCAAAGAGGCAGCACTCAATGTGCTGGAATTTCAGTACAAAGAGAAACCCACCAACCATCTCCAACCCCAAATCTTTGCTACACATTTGACTCACACTGTGTCAGAAACTGAGATGCTGCTTATGTTGCCTAAACTGGTAGTCAAAATCAAGACATATCGGCATGACAAGGAAAGAGCCATAAGAAGTGGAGGAAGAAAGGAATAAAAAGAGGAAATATTAATAAAAATGGGAAAAAGCATAAAGCTAGCAATCAAAGCATTAAACTCTTCGGGAGTTTTGAGTGTCTCCACGTGTTGAGTTTGCTCTGGATCCTCTGAGGTACTCCAAACCCCCAGCTGCTGAGTAGGTGCTGGACCCTCTTGGATTCAGGCACTCAGACATCTTGGAGGACCGAGGTCTTTCTATTTTGGTTTCACGCTGGCTGTATTACACTGACAAAACTGTCAGCAATACTTGATATAAATAAAGTATTAAAGTTATTGCTTTAACATACATTTTGTTCATCACAGATGTAATTTAATTACACAGAATCCATACCTATTATAACATAATGCCATCTGTTGACAAATGACCTGGACACTGGAAAAAACTAATTTTTCCATTCATTAGAAATTAAAATCCTAGCATGTTCATGCGCAAGCCCACGGACCTGCTGGTAGGTCCATGCTCCTAATTACGATGTAGCCTAGAAAAATCAACTGTTATTTGAACAGTGACATCAACAGATTGTCACTTATTAGTGGTTTCCAGATTTTTGTGGCCACCACGGGGAGACACCAAAACTTTCATGGACTTTCATGGATACTGCATTATCATCAGCCTTGTAATGGAAAATAAGACTGAATAAAAGGTTTAATATTATCCTATCAACTACCCGCGGCTTATTTATCTCATGGACTACAGTTTGGATCACTTCTTTAAGCTCTCATCATCTCATTTAATAGCAATCACACAATCTCATTTATAAGCTAAGTTTACATACCTTTTCTAAAATTTTAAAATAAGAAAAGTAGAGCGGCAATTGGCTAGAATCCCTTGTTTACTGCAAGTTTGGTAAATACCTTTCTCTGTGTACTGATTTCAAGGAGCTACTTTTTGTCTTATGCTCATTTAAGCAATCTGTTCTCATGAGATCATACAGAATAAAAGGATTTGACTTAACTGTCCGTGTCTTTTTAAATTCATTATACTAATTGCCGAAACCAGGACACTAATTCCTCATTTAATCCAATCTTGTCTCTTTTTGGTACAAGAACAAAAACATGAAATATTTTTCTATCATATGAGTGTTTTAATTGCTACGCCTTTTTCTTAAAGAACATTGAATGTTTGGAACTCTTCCTCTGAGCCGTAACCTCACAACTGCTTGCCACATACATTGGTCTGTTCTGCCCTCTGTAACAGCTGCATACTGTTTATTTAACAGCATTTAACAGAGATTGGGACTTAGTCCTCTGAGCATGACCTTCCAAAGCAGTTCTACTGAAGTTCTTCCCTCTCAGAAAAGGTTCCCTCATACCTACATCCTAACAGCTTCCCGGCCTCTGCGGCTGCGGTGACTCTGTTGCTTGACCAAGTCTGAAGTTCACTGACTCGACTCGTCTTTAATATCCAACTAAATTCCACTGAATTAATATTTTAAACCTCTGCTGAAGATTGCCTTTTGCTCCTTTGTGCAGCATGTTGGTGTTGAATGTCAAGGAGACAAAAGGAAATCTGAGTTTTTGAAGGTCATCATGGTTTTCACTGACAAATCTGTCTAATTACAATAAAAAAGTCAGAAGTAAATATCTTGAGAAAGAAGAGTAAAATGCTATTTCAACTTTCCAATAATTTTATATGTTATTTTGTTTATTTATGATGATTCAATGTAGAATCCGTTAAAAATCTTATCTAGTTTGCAAGGAGCATGGCTGAAATGATTAACAGGATTTCCATGCAAGACTGTAAAGGATTTTTCCATCCAGGAATTTTACTTGGTGAGATTAAGGTGTGAGAAATAATATAAGGCTTATCAAACAACAAGCCAACAAAATAACCACTGACCGCACCGCTGCCCAGGCTGGCAGAGCAGTCTCAACCACATTCCTGGCACCTCCCAGAAGGCTTTCTTACCTTCACTGCGAACTCCGTTTCTGTGGCTTTATGAACACATCTCTTGCACACTGAGTAGGAGCCAATTCCTATGTCCTCCTTGATCTCGTATCCATCTGTAAAGTGAATG